AACATGTATTGAAGCTGCCTTAATTCATGAGAGTTTGCGATTTTGATGGTTTGTTTGTCAAAGTTTAAGATCGTTGGCGTAGGGTACATCGGGACGAACATCTCGTTCGCTGTCAACATGGTAATCTTGTTCGGATCGTACGAAATCCATTCTGCTTCAACGCGCGGCCCAAACATGAATGCACTGCTCAAATAAGCAAAGTCAGGGAGATGGTTGACAACGTATGGTAGTGACGACAGAGGAATAAATGGCAGTTTAGCCTGGAGTAAAGATTGCTCCATCCTTCGAAGTTTTTTACATRCTCTTTTCGAAGAAATTCTTATTAGCTTGTTTTTCATATYAAATAAAGGTCCGTTGAATTTACTATGGTTTTGAGCGATGCAAACAATAAAGGAAGATAAAGGGCTTTAGTAAAACAATGTGCAGCCAGAGCCTTTTCAATAATTGAAATTAAAAATGCAAGAAAATAATAAACATCCGACCTGAGTACAGTCTCCTTCGCCATCCGTTTTCGTGTCGTGGAGGGATAGAAAGCCCGACACGAAAACGAATGCGAAGGAGACTAACCTGGGTATGGTCTTACACTTGTTTCAGAAAGTTAAACGCCGTTTTGCAATCCGTTTTCTCTGGATTGCATGTAAGGTCATTATCGACAGTGATTAGGCATACTTAATTTATATTCAAAGCCCACGTAGAGTGATGGAGTTTAACAACTACTTATCAATAAAGGAATTAATAATTAGATCCCTTGAGATGACAATGACGTCATAAGCASCTATAAATAACCACCCCTTCAACGTGTTTCACTTAGCGCACCATAAGTATACACGTGACATGGGCCTTTGGATACTAAATCCTTGGCTTTCAGTTCCGTCATCAAAATTTTATTTTACTCGCATTAAAATATGACATTCATATCCTTTTAGAACAGAAAAACCTACATAATTTGACAAAAATTTAGGATTGTGGAGCATTTGGTTGCGGAATTATTCGCAATCGAAGATAATCAAATAATCGAATGTACGCCTTCGAGCATAATAAATCATAACGTGTCTTGTAATATTTTCGCTTCCTGGTCACGTTGCTTTTACATAATGCTAACAATTGCACATTACGAATGATTAAACTATGGCGACATCGATTTTACACCTGTTCACAAGGTTAACACTTTGTAACATCAGTTACCGCGAACGATTAAATAGAGGATATTATATGGGGAACGGAGATTCGAGTATTGAAAAGATCTCTCACGAGTGATCGTAGCGAAAAAACTATAAATCGTATCTCCAATCGACCAATATTCTGTTATGATATAAATGCATATGAAAGCAACTTATGTCGTAAAATACGTTTTTTCCTACTTCCACTTTATAGAGAAACCTCGAATGTGAAAATAACGACTTTACGAAATGATGAAATATAGGTGTTCCATATAGATAATTATATGATAAATATCCATATCCTTCCGTTTGTTCACGCCCGTTAGCATTCTGACATAGTTCGTGGTAAAGCGCGGAGTCGGTCATTTTGTCTGCATGTTTTATTCTGTGTGCTTTAGTAAACCAAACAAGAGTTTGTGAATGGTCATAGCTATCAAGGCGATGCATGAAAATTTACGACAATTATCACTGTCGAAAGTGTTTATTCAATAAATAAAGCATTATAATGTACTACAATTTGCCGTAGAGTAGAAACAAACACGCAGAAAGACATATAGAGAAACACATTATGCACATACGAAAAAAATACACTTAACATGATTTTCAAAAACATCAACAAAAGAKTAAAGGCCCGTTTACATTTTTGCAGCGCGATTGTCGCGCGACAATCGCCACTTTCTTCTCACGCACCTCAAATCGTACGTGTAAACAGCTCTGGGAATGTCGCGGTGATCGAAAGTCGCCGCGAGTTGCAGCTAAATTTTAAGCATGCTCGAAACTCAGGCGATTGTCGCGCGACATTCGCGCTTCAAAAATCGCAAGTGTAAACTGGCCTTAAGAATGGACGAATTCGACAAAACAGGAATTATTGCAGTAGAGTCACCACAAGAAATTTTTACAAACAGCAGAAGTAACGAGTTCAGGTTTTGATCTGTGTACTAAATACGTGGTTTACAAAGTAGGTAGAAGTCCAAAATCAAATAATTTTCACGTGCACCTCAATCATTGGCTTTTCAAAAACAAGGCAACGCCACACTGGACCCAGTGGTTTTGGTTCCCGCCGCAAGGCATGTTGAAACACGTGACCATGTGGTCACGTTCTGAGTTGTAGTAAATGGGTACAGACAAACACTCGTTGCTAGGGTACGGATCAGGAGTGTCCTGTGRAAAAAWTACGTAAAAACAAACCRCTTTGGTTAATCTTAAGAAGTTATCCTTTAGCAGCATAATAGTGGAGTAATTTGCTTCAACATAACAAACCGCKTTATTTTGATATTTTCAGGKCTAATTTTGAAATTAATTCATCAAATTAACGAACAATTGATGATGYTATTGAGGAAATAAGTGGTTTTAATATGTTTAAGGTCATKCAAGCATCGCAGCTTTTCGATGACAATTTTTGTCGGTATTTTACATGTAATATCGTATTCGTACCTTGTCAACCCAGGCTACGGTAGCTACMGGAATTGAAGACACACTTGGTGAATCGCGCTGGTTTTCTGAGAGAGCATTGCCGTCAAATGCAGCTCCCTCAAGCTGAAGACCACCCAGCTGAAGACGAAATGATGAAAACATTAATGGATCAATGGATCAATCAAATAATCAATCAATGGATCAATGGATTGATCGATCGAACAATCGATCAATCAATCAAATTAGTTTCTTCTAAATAAAGGAATGCATGAGTCAATTACTTACCTTGACTGGATATTTTGCGCCATTTATACTTGCTTTCCAAGACACACAAAGCTTCAGATTGTGAATAGATGTTTTCATAGCTCTATAAAATACGAMAGTAAGTTACGTAAGTATACACAGTATATACATTCTCCTGGAGGCTCTAAGGCATCGACTTCCGCTGGATAGCAAAAGTGCGGGCTCTGGGTACGAGATTGACAATTGTACATTCTAGCGAACTGGTACTCACTCATTCACGTCCGTAGTTTAAGGCTATGTTACCTGGCCGTTTGTTGACGCAATGCGTTTARGAATGTATCGGGATGGAACAGTTCTGACAAGTCGATTTCTTCTCGAAGTAATGTCTTAGCTTCACATTTTTCAACCCAAGACCCTAATGCAAGGGCTTTTGATACAAGTGCTCTTAGCCAGTGCACTGGGTCAGCAGGACCCTCCCAGGTTGCGCTCCACTCTAGAGGAACCTTGGAGAAAAAAATATCTACTAGTAATCTTGTTCTCAGACCCTCTCGACTGAGAAAAAACTTTTCTGGTAACAAATGCAGTTTAACAACATTGCTAAGAAACTTCGACATTGGTCAGCCCTCTGTATAACAAAGTCAACAACAGCAATAAAAACATCAAAGAACGCGAGACAGACGTTCAAAAATGGCGCGAAATGTCACGAAATAAAAACGAAAATAAAAACTAAAACGAGGTCTCAAAGACCAGCCTCCGTACTGTAAACTTCGATGGTGTCTTGCAAGAGGGTTTTGTTACAAATAACATACCAATACATCTTTCTAACTTTTCAACACCGCCTAGACGGGATGTTCGTAGTGATTTTTAGATGCACGGCTTTTGAGGTCTCTTTTCAATAATTCGTCACTAGTCGCCCGATATTATATAGTCCCCCATTTTTGAAAGTCGCGTATCCCAACAATAACTGCCGGAATAATACAAAAATGAACGACTACAAATTTACAAAGCGTTTACATCTTGCACAGCAACAACAAAGATCTAATCATTAGTACCACTTAGTGACAACATAACAACAATGAATGATAATGTCAACAATGTTGTACAGCACTTTGCAACAAACCTCCTGTTTGAGAAGAGAGCCAGCCAGAGCTTGAACCTCTGCATTGAGTAACTGAGTTCCTCGAATGACCTTGCTGAGAGCAGACAACGAAGCATGGACTATCTGCACCAATGAAATGGCATTATAACGTTCAAGTAGTACAAATGACGTCACTGGAGACTCTGACCCAGTCTCTGAAGGCGGAAGTATTTTCATCTGTATCAGCTGGGAGCCCTGCAAAAGAATGACTGTTAACTTGAGCCCGCTGTGATATTGCTTGACGGCCGGCGGTAATAATCAATATCTGTGTTTCACTAACATAGAATGACGACACACAAACTTCGACAGAGAGAGAACTGGAGCCGACAGACGTAATCGGTCAACAAAGATTTTCATCCCAGTTCATCAATACCCCACGTTTGATATTCTRCTTGAATGGTCATGCACAAAAGACCTGAAGACAAGACTCCGGGGAAATAATAGAATAATCTCCTTTATGGTTACCTGCACCATCTTGAAAGGCAGCCGTGCCTTTACATCGAGCCGAGACGACCAATGAGCTTGCAATGAGAGATACCTGTGAATAATTGTCTGTAGATGTGAAAGAAGGTTTCTATCATTGCACGCTCAACGGTGCAAAGGCACGGCTGCCTTTCAAGATGGCGCAGGTAACCGTGAAGGAGACTATTATCTATTGATCTATTGTTTCTCCGGAGTCTCTTCTTTAATTTTTTTATGCGTAGTAAATCACCTAAAATATCCATTGGTCGGTCTATTCTCACCTGATTCAACTTTTTCCAAAGATTYAAGATAGGAGACAGTTCCACCGACCATTTCTCTTTGTCAAACTTGTGAGCAACAACGTCAGACCTCATTAGAACCTTAAGTTGTCCGATTACCTGTACAAACSGAGAACACTGCGTTAGTTTTGAGTTGACGTTAAGGCGGTCATAAAGGTCAGTGGTTCAACTTGTGCCTTTTAAATTTCAAAGCAATGAATTTAAACCGCCAAGAGCGATATCTACGCATTCGAGCAGACCTCGGGATAGCTCTGCTCACTTCCACCACTGAGATCTTGACAGAAACGACGCCAATTTAGACAAGATCAAAACCTACCTGCGAACTAATAATCCTTTGCGACGATCGTTCAATATTTGCCGGCAAACCAAAGAAAGAAGGTTTATCATCATCAGGAAGAGAATTAATAATCTCAACATAATCCTGAAACACACACAAAAAAAGAATATTGGCACAAATGGTACTCCAAAATTAAATATTCATCTCGTATTTCATTGCAGATTTTATGCAGGTCGGAAAAAAAAGATCGCAGCATAGCAGGTGACCTTGCGTGAACACGCCCTGTGGTAAGTATCATAAAATCTGCCGCCCATCATCCCACGRTACTTCTGTCTTACCCTGTGATGACACGATGTTGGTAGGCTGACATTAGGGATGACTTTCTTGGGACGGGAACGACTGCCGCTCTGACAAATAAGATCAGTATTAGAATACATGATTGGAATAAAGTCTTGACTAAGATAGGACAAACGAGGCGCACTATATTGACGCACGCTTCATAATGATAATATGTATAATATACACAGTTATGTAAAAAGATAAATTTAACACACTTTTTTACGGTGTTAAATTTATCTTTTTACATAACTGTTTCTTTAGAAACACCGACGCAGCTCACACTAGTTTACCGCTAGTTCCCACCATTATAATATACACAGCCTGTTTGGCAACCTTAGGTAACATTCTGTTGCGAGACAAATTTTGTAGCAAAAGTATAGATCTGTTTTCTCCAGAGCCATGTTTTTCCTATTAGTCTACTTTCTTTGCTACTCTTATTATATAAACTCACACTTTACCCAGTTCCATCTCTTTACTCCGACGAAGGATTAACGTCCGAAACGTCAGTAAGTTATTTCACCTACTTTTTTACGGTGTTAAATTTTTACACAACTGTTTCTTTAGAAACAACGACGCCACTCACACTTGTTTCCCGCGATTTGCATTAATTCAGGCTTGAACTGTCCCAGTTGCTATTTCGAATCGAGTTTGACTACCAAATGTAGTATCAACAATATGATAATCAGTCGTGAATGTTCTGGGGGAGAATAGCAGGATGATACGTTATGATGCAACAATGWATATTGATGTCCTTACCTGACCAGGAAACGAGGACTGCTCGAAATACTGTAGCAGATATGATTCCAACACTTTCAAATCAAAGGTGTTGTCGACACGACCGCCATAAATTGCATTAGCAAATAGCCCATGAACAAACGGCCATCGGACCTGCCCCGAACCTATATCAACAATATGAAGATAAGCAACATAATGATACACTCAATCAACGAGTTTTTTTTAGGATTTTTAGGATTGGTCAAAAGGTTCTGTACAAAAATAAGGTTGAGGTGGTATAAGTCCCTTTAGTCTCCAAAATTAGAAATACAGTTTAACCTTACGTAAGTGTACAACCGCGTCAGAAACGGAGTGTTTGGAAGAAATAAAATCTGAGTTTTAGAAAGCTGTCAATAAATAGATCTGTCTTCCTAAGAGATTCGACTGAGTTTTATGATACGTTCTCATAGTAGTTTTTGTTTGTTGGGTTACGAAAATGCTACAAGAACGCTGTGATAAAAAAACTGTCAAAAAAAAAGTGTTTACCAGCAGTACTGCAGAGTCTGTCAATGATATCCGCACCAGCTCGTAAGTCTCCGAACGAAAACTCGTAGAACTTCGTCCAACCCTACATTTATTGAAAGAAATTGGTACGTTAAGACAGATAATAATGACATAATTCAGGTATGACGATATGACGTAAGAATAAAAATAAAATTAAATCCCATTTATACGATATAACAATATGTCAGTCTAGATGTCAAGGTGATGTAATATGACGTCACAGTAGCAATGACGTCAGTCTAAGGAGCAAAAGTCGTAACATTAAGTAAGATTTAGTAGAAAACGTCTATGAGTATGAAAGTATGCTGTTCGTTCCCAATCTACTGCTCTTTTTTTAAAGCGTTTATAAAGCTTAGCACAATTAGTGCATTACCTGGGGGATGTAGTTCCTCCTTTCCTGTACGATAGCATGGAACCAAGCCAACACGAAGAGAGCCTGGGCACGAATCGACGAGTTCCCACGACTGATGTACTCTGGTGCCCAGGAATCGTAYGTGCGCTGAAGGTTCTTCTTAGTGCCGGGAGGAGCCTGGTAAAGTCACAACAATAGAAAYTGAGACATTCATAGCTTGGAAACTAAACTTTTRWATCGCTTTTTATTTAAGCATAAACATGAATTTTACAATACTTCATTGCTGTAAATAGAAGTCGGAAGCCTTTTCAAAGCGGAGCAAGAACAGAAAAGTCCAAGGTAACCTTCTTACTGTGGCCTTTCAAACAACGACGTCAAAGAACGCATTTATCAACTCAATGCCAAACAACAGTTAATAGTGTAGAATAACGAACGTCCATACCTCGTAGGTGACCTTCAGACTCGACTGCAGCAAAATCGTGGGAAACTTGGGATGACTTTCCGCTGTCAGCCATAAGCGGAAGTTCTCATGAGGTTCGAGTGAATTAAGCTCCTGRAGAATTAGACAACCGTCTTTTAGATCTTTCGTAGAATGAACAAGCTCAACATTTTTCTTTTTGATAGGTATTGCGGCACCAGGAATAAAGAAATTTGAAACACAAGAACAGCGGAAACTCCCGGGGGGACTCCCTTACATAAAAGGGCGGGGTTCCTCGTCGGAAATTTTGAAAATGACCCCTAAAAGGACCTGTATTACTACGATGAACATCGCGTGTCAGCTTTTTGACGGTGTAAGTGGGTCGTACCTTCTCTAGAGTGGGAAGCCATGCTGTCACAAGATGTAAGTTTTTCAAACAAAGCCATTCRCCATCCCTTGCGCAGTCGTGTAGTTGTTGTAATGCTATGTCMGCTTGGCCTTGACCCATAGCAACCTAACACAATTGACAGGATTAGAAGTACGCATGCCGAGAAACAGCAAAGTTACTTTTATTAAACTATGGAAACCCGACATTAAGTCTAACTTACCAGAAACCTATAAGGAACTTGAAGCGAGTAGCGCCGTGCCATCCGTTGGAATATTCAAATCTAATTTGTTTCTTATTTTCCAAATATGGTCATAACGTTCGTTTTCGAATTTTTAATGTGCTGACGCCTGTACARAGAWTTGTACGGGTGCYACACGTTTCAAGTCCCTTATAGGTTTCTGAACTCACYTGATGGTACTTGTTCACGCCTACAACCTCGCCTGCAAGCTCTTGTAGCTCCTGWAAGCAGAGACAGAAAGAGTAAGACAATGACAAAAACAAACTAATACAGTTATTTGTAAAAATTATATCTGGTGCATCATGGTTAATTCAATCTGATTTTTTTTTTAATTTTCTCTCTGAAGAGGATAGAAAAATGATCAAACTCCTTGTCAATCTACTTGGGATATTTCAAACTTTCTATGCATTTAAATGACATATTAGACCATGGAAATGATAATGCTAGATGATGATTATTACCTGCGAAGGATCAGCACCAGGCGATATAACAATAAGAATGGCTTCCCCTGGCACAGTGTCCTTAACCAGTCGCTTCAGGTTCAATGCTGGAGGTGACAGTTCCTTTACACCTGTATCAACAACGAAATAACATGTAGTCTTTAGAACGTAGGAACGTAGATACTTGACAAGGATACATAGGTCTCTCCGGTAGCTGCGGTCCCGCACAATCACTCCATTTTAAAATAACTACGATTTACCTAGCGCTTTAGAAGCAAACATAATCATTGCACTTTGAAGTCTATCTGGTCGTAGGGCTTGCACCACAAGAACCTTAAAGTAATAGATATTAACATTAGCGGTGGTCGAAYTGGTCGAAATCCCGCTCGCGCAAGTGGTATYCCTTTTTGGCGGGAAAAATCGGCCGGAGGTGGGAAGTGAAAATCACTTCCRGCAAACGCGGCCGTGTCATTTTTGTGATGCCACTGATGGCATTGATGATGGTGATGATTGTGAATCAACGTGATTAAAACAATGATAACAACAGTGAACTTCTCTACCTGTTGAAAAAGACTTATTTTCTTTGCAATCTGAGCTGGAAACTCTTGCTCGCATTGAGAACTGCGGGCGAACGACAGCCACAAATCAGAGTTTTCCAACTGAAGGTTCGCATACACGCTTSCAAACGAATTCTGTAAAAAAATAAATAAATAAACRTAAAGCTTTCGGAAATGATTGGAAACATGAAATGTAAAGGCTTGTGAGGTTAGAATRTATCACTGATTTTGTAAACATGAAGTAAACCTATATGTTGATACGACATTTATATTTTAAAAAACAAAACAATAGGCAGTGTGCAGCTTTTTTCGTTTACAGAGAAAAGGCAAAGCTGATTGAAAACTGCCTATCAATTTGACATATGGTTCACAGTGAATGTCTTTGAGCAAATCTGCAAATGAGTGTAATGTTTCTAATGTCCTCTCGTATGCCCACCTTAAATGATCCAACAGGCCCTGCTCTGTCAGAATCTATCCAGGATGGCATGCTGTCTCGAAGGTTCTTCATCGACTCCTATTGATCGAAACAAAATGATAATTATAAGATATAATTTTTCTACATTTCATAATCAGGAGCTTAATATTTGAGTTTCTTGTTCACTTCTCTAAGATACATCTAGCAATAATCATACACTTCAGTCTTGGTCGACAGTATTTTACTAAATTGTGCAGACTGGCTTGAAATTGTTCCATAAATTATGCAATATCTACTATACCCTACCTGGCGCTTGAACATGTCGCTGACCACCATTCCGCAAAAGAACTCCCACTCCTATCAATAAAACACTCATAAATATCATTGAAATTATCGGTACATGCATTTTTCTGGGGCTTTAGCAATTCGAGAAACGTTAGAGTACGACGGAGGAAGAATGGGAAACGGTGAGTTGGTAAAAAGAGTACTGCTGCAAGTTATGAGTGGTCATGTGGTTATCTAGGGAGAGCGTTGTTGTCCAAGGATAAGCATGTTGTTGCTATGCGGGCGCAGTGGTGTCCAGGGAGGAGCGGTGCTGTCTAGTTGATATATAGTTGTCCATGGGTGCTGTTTGTTGTCCAAGGGGTGTTATGATGCTCAGGAATGTGTGGTGTGTTGGGTTGCGTTGTGTCCTGGAATGCGTGGTATCCAGGAACACGGCGGCTTAAGTAAGATAGCAAACCTACCTTCGTTTGAAACATTTCAGGATGAGTGCCATGAACCAGATGAAGAGCGAACATCAAACGATCAGCCTACAAGTAAAAGGACCAATCAAAATAGACTGTTGTTAAGGCCGGGCTAATCCATGATGCGCGATTAAATTGCCGTACTTATTAGCCTGAGTATCAGGCTCTCTCGAAGGGGTTTGGGGCGGAGCGAGAAAGGAGAGAGAGCCTGACACAATCTTCTATCGAGAGCCGTGTTCGGCGGCCGTTTCATGGCCGAAACGCTGATTGGTCTAGAGGACAAAGGAAGTGACAGGAATTAAAATATATATAATTATTATGCTACCGAACGACGCTATGACTCTTGATATAAGTGAATAACAGTTTGGGAAAGCTTTAATAGAACCCTGGTTGTATTTTATTCTATTTTTTACTATGTTATCAAGCCGTTCTTGAATCAGTTTGTTTTTACGCGTACAAAAACAAACCGATTAACGGAAACGTCTCATATAACACTAACATTACACCGACCTATAACGGAGTAAAACAATTCAAGATTATAGTGATCAATCCTCTAGAGTTTATTAGACGTCCACAAGTTGAGAATCTGGTAAAAAAATCGGCATAAAAACTACGACTTTTCAAATAAATTTTGACATATAACCGCCACATCGAGAAATCAAGCAAACCGGAAAAGCTTTTAATTGGTTTAAATTTATTGTCACGCGTCACGCATTGCAAGGAGGCGGAACGGCTCTCGATAGAAGATTGTGTCAGGCTCTCTCTCCTTTCTYGCTCCGCCCTAAACCCCTTCGAGAGAGCCTGATACTCAGGCTACGTACTTATTGAATGAGTTGATTATGTATTCGCTTTCTGATTCATAAGCATGTGTAAACGTGTAAACGGAAAAACCGTGCGCTTTTCATTTGAGAATCCTGATGGCAAGGATTAACCATTACCAGGCAATATCCAGGCAATGTTGTTGTTAAATAATATTGATATTGTTTCAGCTTAATCTAATGAAATAACAAACCTTGAAGAGAGAACGACAGACATATTCATAGACTAACGACTGCAGTGAACCCTTAAGAACCTTGATACGTAGCTCGGTACTACTAGAATCCTGTAAAAAACAACAACATAAAATAACGAATAAAACATACAATGAATAATGGATGAGAAAATATCAATGAATATCTGGTCTAATGGATTGATTGACGAGGTGTGATAACATTGCAATCAAATCAACGAGTTTTATTCACCTTTTTGGTTTCCAATGACCTTTCAAACAATCTCAAGAACGAACTCAAACTGAACCGATACATRTTGTTCAACTTTGCCAGGTCGCTGATGATAAAGAACATGGTACTACCACTCTTAGCCAATGGGAGATAAGCATCCCGTTCCTATAGAAACGAATAGTTTAGATACATCAATAGCAAACAACGTATCACCATAATGGGCTGGACATAACTTATCGTGATGACGGGGACGAGTTGATCTAAAAAGTGTAATTATCTATTTTTGATGACTACTTGTTGCAGCCGTTATTGCTGTTATAATATCTTTAGTAATGTTGGTTCTGTTCAGTGCTATAACTTCCATGACTGTTGGTAATGTAGCAGCTGTTGTTCTTAGTAAGACATTATTACTGTTGCTGTTGCTSATGTTGTCTTGTCGCTTCTGTTGTCGTAATTTCAGTGGWRCCCTAATGAATCATTCTTGCCATTGCTGTCGATCTAGAGTAGAGACTATATTTTCAATTTACCTGATCTAAGGTAGTTTGTACACGATGTGCATCTTGCAAAGACTCTGCAATAGTCATACTACTGGCCTTGGTCTTATTCAACGACTCAAGAAGATCCTTGTTCTCCAARATGTTACCCTCAGCACTGGCAAGAGTCTAGGAATAACAAAATCATTATCAATACTTCTTATTTATTAAAAACATACCATACTAGTCTTATTGCTGTTTCCCTCCTTATAAGGCCATCTTTATTTTGTTGAAAAGCATGACGGTATTGTTAAAAGCATTAAGATGGCGGACATTTTGTAAAACAAGTATCGAGGACTAAGTCTCTTTGCAAAATCCACGTTATACTTTTTCGAGGGTGTTTTAGAAAAACATTAAATAAGATGGCTACACGCTACTTTAAAATATCCGAAGCAGAAGTAATTCTCGTTGTTCGCAAAACAAACCAACACAAAACACGTTTTCAGTTTATACTTTTTTCAATCCAATGGTGCTTTTCACCGAACATGACATGACGTCATTACAAGAAAGGAAATTACGTTTGAATTTGTTCCTTTATGGAATGCAATGGAACCCCGTTAATCCGGTCACCGACTGAAGGACCATTGGAAAAGTGCCTTTATAACGAGGTGGCCACATTAACAATGCAGAAATGAATGTATACGAATTTAGATCACCAATACCCGAAGACCTGGACGTTATACATAACAGGTTGGCCGTATTTTAATCTTAAAAGCATATCTTAAAAGCGTTTCACAGAGTAATTTGCCACATAGTATTCTTCACCTCAAGCAACGACTCCTCCAGCTCAGCCAACTGAATCTTCAGCTCTTCTTCTTTTCTCAAAAGCTCCGTCTTTTTGACTTCAAGTTGAGGTTTCTCATGTTGTATCGTAATGCCAAGCAACTGGAATATGAATGAAGAGTCACGATTAGTTAATAGACTAGGGATTGTRTTATCCATATTGCGTGACATACTTGGCCAGTAAGTCCAGCCCGAGTTGTYGTGAAGTTGACTTCTGATATGATAGCATGGGCATCAGGTGGAAGGTCTGGATTGGGATTTCTTGTCGCCATGAATAGCCTAAGAGAAGACTTCACATTTTACAAGGGGAAACAATTGACATATAAAAGGAAAGAAAAAGAAAAGAATAGAGGAAGAGAACAGGTAAAGGAAAGATAAATTAGTACAGATAGTGAAGAAAGCTGGAAAATTCCAAATTATAAAAACATATAAAACCATGTAAAAATACATAAGAAACAAAGAGAATCTTACTTGAAATCTTCATTATAATCGATGACTTTCTCGCCAATTTGAACAACAAATCGCGGCCCTAAAAGAGACAACTTTTATTAGACTTTAACATGTTTTTACACGCAGACAGAGCCGCTTCCCCTGTGTAAAGCGCTTGCGTAACGATAAATATAACTTTATCATCTTTTTTTTTAATAATATTTTTATTTCAATAAATATATATAATACTAAATTACATTTAGTACAACAAACAAAACAAAAACACGAAACAAAGAACTTAAATATACGCTGCATAACTATCACCTTAGGAAAATCTTTAAAACACTTGGACTCAGATAAGTGCTGTCCAGGGTACCCTAATTGTATAGCAATTCTCAAATATTTTCACACTTTCTCATGTDTGAGGCCAGTCTAGATTTCTTTTTTTGCTATGATGTACTCCATTTTTTCATACAATGTTACAGTAATTATAAAATCATTTAATTTTGGTAACTTTTGTTTAGCCCTTAACTTTATCATCTTATTTACTTCAACACATTGTCATCGAAAATGAAATGGGTCATCACGTGACATTGTGAATGCTGTACAGTACTCATTATACAAGAACCGCGGGGTGAATTTCGTATGAGTGGGAAACGGACGGTACTGTACTGTGACCGTAATCGTACTGTAACCAAATTCTAGTGCCACATTGGTTCACCAAAATTGTGAAGGCCAGGTCCGGTAACTTTGCGGTAACCGTGCGGTAACGGTGTCCCACTCATACGAAATC